TGATACAGATTGCTTCTATAACCATTTCAAATGGCTTTTCTGTACATGTACATGTACCTACTGGTACTTGGTGGATACACTGAGTTCTGCATGTACCGTACAGTACTCATACGGATGCAGTGTGCAGACAGCGTGTATTTTCACCATGGAGCACTGCAGTTTTACCATAGAGCTATTAAGCACTGTCCATGTTGTTACTTTGGCATCAAGATTATGCATGTACATGCATGGAGGTTGTGCTGGTCCCTGGGGATAACCAACCTCAACGTACCCCATAATCACGCCAATACAAGGATATGATAGTGATGGATACTAGAACTATGTGCAGGGGGGGTCGTGCAGTAATGGGTAACAGGTAAAGGGCAGGCAGTGATAATCAACATATTGGTGTACAGGTACAATGTACATGTCATTTGTAGTAGACACGGTGAGCGGTAGAAATGTGTACAGTGTGCAGTGCATACCACTGGGGTACAGTGCACTCTTCAGTGGACGGTCAGAAGAGGTCCTGGCCCCTCTTCTTGGTCACTTACAATTGCATAGGGTACATGTACGCATGCATGGAGGATTTCTCCATGGTAAGGTACAGTATATGATCACTGTACATGTACATGTACATGTATACATACCCGGTATAGCAGTGACCTCATTGTCAGTTCATAACTTCATGTAGAGTTCATGTATACGTGTAGATACATGTGGGCCTACATGTACATGTACATTGTATTGTACCACATGTACATGTACAGTTGTACTGTAGGACACATGTAATGGTGTACTGATGTATATTCTTTGTTTTACATTGTAGTACATACATGTAGATGTACCCAGTACATGCTTTTGTACTTTCAGTGTACATGTACATGTAGATCTACATGTACATGTACATGTACCGTTACATGTGCGGTGCCTGTATGGCAGATTCTACAAAATATTAACAGAATGGTTAGGAATATTTGGTTTTCTTCATTTTAAGTATTTTACAGAATTTTGATGATGTTGGAGAATTTTGACAGAAAATGCATGACATTCAACATTATCCAAATTGTTTCATGTGTAGCACTCGAAAATTCCGTGCACAGTGTTTATTTTGCCATTAGATTTGGAGATATCCCACTCAAAATGAAATCAATGTTTGAAACTCTGGGCATTTGATTGTCATCATGAGCCATATTTAGGTCTCGCATGTAATATGTTTGAGAACATCATTTAATTTGACAGATTTTCTGTTGACAAAACTGGGTTTGGAGAGAAAAAGCCCGGAGCATTGTACAGTACTTCTGTAAAGGGACTCATGAATGTTAAATGAAAAAAGCCGCATCTTTGCTAATGTTAAAAGGTCAAACAGCAACAAAATAGTTCTGAAATGTCCCAGTGAAAGATTGACAGACCTCCCAGAGTCGTCATCTGAATATAGGAAATGTACCAGATGAAAATGTCATTAATCAAGTCATAAAATAAAAGCACGGTGGTTTTAGGTCCTTTCAAGCATGCCTTTCTGAAGTTCGTGTTGTACATCATTTTCGTTTTCCTCGCTGTGTTTAATCATTGACATTTTTAATGGAATTGAATGACGTTCACCACTGTTGACTTCATGACCAGATTATCTGTACAACGTGGTTTGTAATTTGATGATTATGGTTGTAAAATATGTAAATTATATCACACATGTACACATAGGTCACCATGTACATGTATTTGGACAAATCTGTTCCTGAATTACTTATCACTTCCTGTTAATTTTAGGTGGTCACAATTTACAGGTTGTTCATGATGTCCAGTACCGGTACATGTATACTGATGTTCCAGATTTTGTATTCTGATCAAGATGAAAGATGGGCATGGATGTAAGGTGTTCTTTCATTCAAATTCTGGGAATGAGGTGCACAACATATTATTGCCCTGCTATCCAGCTTGTTTTTGCCACAAAATTCACCCCCCTGATGTTTTGTAAACTGATCATTGGTTCCAGCTGGGACTCATTGTCATTGTGTGGGTGGTTTTTAACGCCAAGAGATCTCAAGTGTTTATAAAATGGTACCATCTACATGTACATGTAGCAATAAAAGTGGAACAGTGAACTACCGGTCCCAAAGGGGTCCCAGTGCTGGCACCACTTGTTCTCTGGCTTTATAGTATATAATATTTATGTGTTTACATACATGTATGTGTACAAGCACTGGCATGTACATGTACGTGCTTGACGTGCAAATTAGGGGGTGTGGTTGGCCATTGGGGGAGGGGGACTGCACGTGCCAAACAAGCACATTCATAAAAGGTTATTAATCCTGCAGCACAATTCATGCAACAGTACAACACAGGCACACACATACTGTACATGTTACATGTACACAAAGACCTGTAATAAAGCATGCATATGCATTGTGAGTGCATATTTACTCTCTGTGGAGGTATTCACTGCCCTATTGGTACATGAGTTGTGATCAATTACATGTGCCCCCGTATGTGTCTAATATTGGACCAAAGAGTACATGTACTGGTAAGCTTGATGAATTAAAGTGTTGTTTGTTTAGTGGTTACCCCTTTATACATGTAGGGTGCTGAGGGGACAAGAAAGATGCGGGTACATTGAAGACCATGGTGTTTGTTTGTGTTTGCATTCATGTATCCGGGTACAATATGTTAATTTCCATGTTCAAGTACCTGCATTATCAGATACATTTCATGTACATGTATATACAATATACATCTACCGGTACATGTACACTTGAAAGTTCCTTGGCTAATAAAAAGTTTCAAGTCTTCCTAATTGTTGCTGGATTGTTTGTACTCTGATACATGAAGGCAAGGGCAAATCTTAGAGGGGAGGGGAGGCAACAGGGACCATGTCTGCCCCTCTCCCCCCAAAAATGAGCCCAAATTATTTACCAAATTGATAACATGCGAGAAAAGCAATTATGTTTTTGCTCCATTTTATTCCTCTTCCCAAAGCATGCCAAAAGCCCTCTAAATTAGCCTCACCTCCAGAAAGGCCACAAAATATTACACAGAAAAAACAAATTCCAAAATTTTTGGCCTCCCAAACAAGTTCCACCCCTAAAAGTTTTTCCCGGGTCTGCCTTTGCATGTACATGTACACGTACATGTATGTGACCTACTGGGTAACTGCACATGTACCATACCAGCTACAAAGTATGTACAGTGTATGCAAATTGCAACTGAAACTGGCAAACAGATCCAATTACACACATTACATTTCTATGTGTTTGATGACTGATCGATCATCATGTTTTTGTTCACACTGGATACTGTACACAGAGTAGGTTTCCAATTGTCTCAGCTGCTATAAATGCACAGGTGCCCACGGAGCCAAGGTACATGTACCTTGTGTGTACATGTATGTACATGTATGTATGTTAATGATGCATCGCTTGCAAGGCCATTTGCAGTGTTACTTTGTTGATCCTTATTCTCTTGTATTAAAGGCCAGGGTTGCAATGCACAAAAGTGGAAAAATGCGAAGGACAGAGCTGTGAAATGTACAACAGTATGATCATTGTTAATTTAGCAATAAGAAACCCATGCAATGCATTGCAGTCAGAATATGAATTTCTCTTTACACATGGCTAAGTTTATATTAATTTACTTGTGCAACGACATCAGAGAATGTGTATGGGGCAGTGCGGACATCCGCGAGTTTCACAAAAATGGCCGGTAGCGACCACACCGCGCCAATGAAAACAACTGCAACAAGCGCGCGTATAGACTGATCAACGCAAAGATTGTGTAACCCGATCCTTGGACTAGCTGGTACGTGTGCGTACATCGCTAGGGTCGCTGTTTTCACCGGCGCCGTACCTGCCATTTTGCGAGAATCCCGGATGTCCGCGCTGCCCCATAGCTTTGGCAGGTCACTACATGTTTTCTCGTGTACCGGTAATTGTCATGAACAAATTACAATGTGCTGGTGGGGTTAATGTACATGTACTGTAGCTGTACACGTTAGTTTATGAATGCATACATGTACATGTATGTGTGCACATGTACTTGTAAGTTGTATTGTTTATGTACCGTGGCTTGCACATTTCTTGTACAGTAGATGTACATGTACATGGACATACATGTACCCGTATGCACCATGTAATGGTACAATATATGTGTAGTGGAATTTGCACATGTATAGCCTCTCCCACACCGTAATTGTGGGGATATATGACATTTCACCTACAAGTACCGGTATGTTGTGGGGATCGAAAATGTTATGGACTGGGGACTCAGAAATGTCGGTTCAAATTTCCCTAACAAAAGAACTTGTCCCCTGAATGGGGTGAATGCCTACCCATGTGTACTGCACCTGTACATGTGTACTGCACCTGTACATGTACATGTGTACTGCACCTGTACATGTACATGTGTACTGCACCTGTACATGTACATGTGTACTGCACCTGTACATGTGTACTGCACCTGTACATGTGTACTGCACCTGTACATGTACATGTGTACTGCACCTGTACATGTGTACTGCACCTGTACATGTACATGTGTACTGCACCTGTACATGTACATGTGTACTGCACCTGTACATGTACATGTGTACTGCACCTGTACATGTACATGTGTACTGCACCTGTACATGTGTACTGCACCTGTACATGTGTACTGCACCTGTACTTGTGTACTGCACCTGTACATGTGTACTGCACCTGTACATGTGTATCACACAGGTACATGTACTGGTACATGTGCTGCCAGGAACGTCTTTTCCTACATGTACCTCCATGGTACGGCATGTATTTTTTCAAAACAAAAAGAAGGTGTAGCAGTACATGTACATCATACAAGCGCCGCCACTTGGTTGTACATGTACTATAGGTACATTTACCTCTATGAGAATGGCACAAAGAGGACATTGTATACATGTACATGTAATGTATGATACTTGATAAGACTTGTGTACGGTACATGTAGAAAAATTCGCACAATGCAAGTTTAGCAGCTCTTTTATTGAACCCTTGATTTTTCTCTCTAATTTTCAGCTTAAACGTGAAGAGGAGGATTGAAGCAATGGTTGTAAGTATTAAGTCCATTTACTTCAGTGATCTCTGCCTTACCGTTCTTAATTAACCCTAACACTCCTCAATCCTTCACCTGTTGGAGGACTGAGGACTGTTAGGGTTAATGCCCATATGGGAGCCTGACAAAGACATTAATACATGGTATCACTACTCACAAGACTTTACTTTCAAATTGTGATTTAAGTGCCATTTTGGCTCCTTGTAGAATCCTACCCATGCCCTGCTGCCCTGGCAATGGTACCCGGTACAATGAAGTCAAACATGGCTTAGTAAATGTGGAAAAAGGAAGCCTTGGATTAATCCGAACCCCCTAGGCTGCTGCAATAGAAAGCATACTGAACCTCAC